TTTTTTAGTTTTATTCATTTCAAACGGGCCGGATCCGGCCCGCGGGCCGTAGTTTGCCCACGGCTGGTGTAGACGAAAAGGGGGCTACATGATAACCTGGCAAGCTGTGGGGAGGAGGGAGGCGTGTAATGCAGCTCTGACAAGCTCAATGACCAAAATTTACCACACAAGCTGCAAAACGGCCATTTTCCAGAGCATTTTCTCAATCTGTTGAGCTCTTGCTTCTGGGCATGTTCTCAAAATGTGGCTTGGACTCATAAAACGTTCTATAGGTTTGGACGATCTTTTGTCGATGGTGGTGATGGTTTTCCATTGGTTAATCATGACATAAATTACAGTATTGTGCCTGGCCGCAGTGGCTCAGAGGTTGAGAGTCACCCTATGCACCAGGAGGTCATGGTTCCATTCCTGGTCAGGGCACATCCCCCGGTTGGGGGCTCAATCCCCAGTAGGGGGCATTCAGGAGGCAGCCAATCAATGATTCTCATCATTGATGTTTCTATCTCTCTCCCTCTCCCTTCCTCTCCGAAATCAATAAAAATATACTTTACAGAAAATTACAGCATTGCATTTAACACCAAGTCTTTCACAGGAAGTGTATTAAGCTTGTCTTTTTATTCTGATGTTTTAACACCTGGGGCCTTACTGACCCTGGAGAGGTCCTATCCACCCAAACACAAAAATATCCCATTAGAATATCAGAAAGGGGCCAATTAAAGGTGAAAACTCAACAGGGAGATTATGCCAAGCTGAACAACTCTCACTTGGCTGATTTCTGTGAGCCCAGGGGTCATGAGCAAAACCTCCTGGGCTCCAAAAGTCATTTTCCAAAAGACCTAGATGCATGGAAATCTTTGGTGGAAACAGAAGCAAAGAACCATAGGATTTTCAGTAAATTTCCCTGGCATTTGGTACACGTACTAGATCTGAGTGTGGTATTCTGATGCCCACAGTGTAGGTGAACAACAGAGCAGAGATCTGCACCTTGGATGACGACATTCTAAGCAGAAGCTTGTAGCCCGGGTAACAAGACAGGGCAACATTTACAGGTCGGATAGCTGTAGGTAAGTCCAGCCAGAAGTCTGAGAGGTTAGGTTCTCTATCCTTCCCTGAGTCTGTGTAACAGGCCTGTGGAGTGCGGTGCAGGGCCACCCAAGAGTAGAAGCTCATTAAATAGCAGCTGAAACATGGAAAACACGCAGTTGTTTGTCTGGCTATGACTCAAAGTGTCCACTAGAGGGCACATAACTTTAAGATGGGTGTGTTTTTTTACAGGTCAAAAAACTGGATAAATTATAATTATTGGAATAATAATAAGTAATAAAAGATAGCTTTTATTGCACACTTTCTAAGGGCCAGGAACTCCCCCAAACACCTTATATGCATAACTTTATTTATTTATGTATTCTCTTCACCTAGCCACATCATAAGTTATAATTAGGCAAATTGTTAGTTAACTTGTTTTTTTTTTTTCATTTTTAAATGTGATTAAACCAAGATGTATTTATATTTGACCAAGGAATTTCTTAGGAAATTTATTTTCCCAATCATCTTTTGCTTATGTTGCTAATTAATTTTATTAGTAAGTTAACTTGTTTTTCATTTCTATCCCACATTGGACTGGAAGTTCCATGAGGATAATGTGTGTTTAATTTATTGTTCTGTCCTGATTAGTGAGTCTGGATCATTGTCAAAACTAAAATCAGTAAGATTTTAGAAGAAGTTATACTTTTATTTAGTTGTTGATTATGCTGATTAAAGGTATTGGTAATTATTTAGACAAATTTGTGAATTTACATTCAAAATATGCTCATATAGTGCTGACCTCATTCCAAGCACAGTTCTAAGTTGCTGTTATTAGCTTCATTTAACAGATGTGGAAACTGAGGCACAGAGCTGCTTTTGTGTGTGTGGTGTGGTTTTTTGTTTGTTTTTAATTAATCCTCACCCAAGGATATTTTTCCATTGACTTTTTTTTTTTTAGAGAGAGGGGAAGAGTGAGATAGAGACATGGAGAGAGAAACATTGATGTGAGAAAGACACATCGATTGGTTGCCTATCGCACACGCCCTGATTGGGGTGGGAGATGGAGCCTGCAATCAAGGTTTGAGCCTGTGACTGGAATTGAACCTGGGACCCTTCAGTCTGTGGGCCGGTGCTCTACCCACTGAACCAAACAGGCCAGGGCCAGAGCTGCTTCTTATGTCAGGAAACATGCCCAAGAGTTCACAACCAGTAAATGGCATAGCCAGGATTCAAACTCAGGTATCCTGGCTGCAGACTCCAGACACATAATCACTACTCTGCCTCTAAGATTCACTTAATGATTTGATACAATTATTACATAAAGCAGTAATTGCATAGGTAATAATTCTTCTGAGTCGCAGCAAACAAATTTAGGGAAACTTTTATGCATTTTTCACAATGGACTTTTCATGCATTTGCAATAGTGGTGTTGGGAAAAGAAGCATATCAAGGTCAGAAGGTATCCTTGCTTCTCAAAACCTCGTTTCCACATGGTGAAAAATTATAAACTATTATCTCCTTTCCAAAAACCAAACACCTGAACCAACTAACATGCAAAGGCCAGAGTTCTTGGCACGTCCACAGAAAAGCACTCCACATAAGACGCAGAAAGCTTTTAATATCATCAAGGAAGTTTTGCAATTCAAACAACACACAAAACCGCATGACTCGGCAATTCTACCTCTAGGTAGAGCACCCAAGACAACTGAAGACAGGTATTCAAACAAAATACTCCGGGCAGCACTAGCCACAATGATGCTATTCACAGCAGCCAGGATGTCCGTCAGCAGATGAATGGATAAACAAAAGGTATTGCCCTGCAGTGGAATATTGTTCACTGTCCAAGGGAATGAAGTGCTGATCTGTGCTACAACCGAGATGAACTTTGAAAACACGAGGCAGAGTGAAAGGAGTCAGGCGGGAAATGTCACATTTTGTCTGGTTCTGTTTATCCAAAGTCTCAGAAGAGGCAAATCCATAGAAAAACAGAAAGCAGATTAGTGATTGGGAGGTGCTGGAAACAGAGGGGACGAGGGACAGGTAAAGATCAGGGTAACTTGAGCTTTCCCTGGAGTCTCCGGTGGGACGCACTTGAAATGGAAGTCCTCCACCAGGACAGGGCTCAACCTGCCCCACCCCCACTGTACACCTCGCTCTCCTCGCCTTCGGTTCTCAGACCGTCTCCCTCACAGCTTCCTTCTCCCAGCCTCTGAGTCCCCCTCCCGATGGCCGGCCTTAGGCCGCAGGGCCTCCAGTCGGAGTGATTGGGAGTGCACCGGGGGTAAGGGGCACTCAAGTCTCATACAGCCTTAGGCCACAGGGCCTCCAGTCGGAGTGATTCTCTCCGGAGGAGTGCACCGGGGGTAAGGGGCACTCAAGTCTCATACAATAGTGGATCTTTTTTTTTCCCATGTATTTTTTATTGATTTCAGACAGGAAGGGAGAGGAGAGAGGGGGAGAGAGAGAGAGAGAGAGATGATGAGAGAGAATCATTGACTGGCTGCTTCCTGCACGCCCCCCACTGGGAATCAAGCCTGCAACCCAGACATGTGCCCTGATGGGGAATCAAACCATGGCCTCCTGGGTCCCAGGTCGATGCTCAGCCACTGCAATAGCTGGGTCTTTTGGGCAGGAGCGAACCTCTGGGCAGGAGTGATCCTCTGTGTCTAATTTCCTTTACTCTCCAGGGAGAGCTGGTGGGCCTGTGAGCAGACCTGTTAGATGAAGCACAGGCTGCTCTCTCAGAAGATAGACAGGGACTCCACTGTCCAAATGGAGCAAGAGTAAGTCAAAGCCGGGGCGAGCGACAGAATGTCTAAGGTCCAGAGAGCACACAGAGGGAGAGGGAGCGCCTGGCTGGGGGTAAGACAAACAATGCAGGGCAGAGGCTGCATCCAATGTATAAGGTTGGGCTGGCTGGAGGCCTGGGCTCCCCTGGGCTCTGTCCCCATGAGAGAGGACGGAGTGGGGCTGGGCTTGCTCCTGAGACGTGTGCTGGGCTGAGGGGACCCCTTGGCGACTGGTTTCTCTGGGCCTTGGCTGCAGCAGGCACCTTCCCGGGGCCCCAGCTGTGCGAGGCTGCACAGGGTGTTCCTTTTCCAACTGCAGACCAACCCACCCGACAGGTTTGCTGATGAGCGAGCGCCCAGGTCCCAGGCCAAGAGGTGTGAGCGGCAGGCACTCGGCATTCCAGCCTCGGCTGCAGCTCTGCCAGCAGCTGGGAGACCTCGCAGTGGCTCTCGGAAGTGCAGTCCCAACTTCAGGACCAAGCAGGGAAGGACCTGGAGTACGAAGCCCCTTGGAGCCCCAGAAGGACTCTGAGCAACGGTGCCTGCCTTTCTCCTTCCCTCACCCTTGTAGCCCTCCATCTCTCACCCCATTCATTCCTTCTTCTCCTGCTACCCCGACCGACCTCCCCGTCTTCTCATCCATTAACCCCCCACCCCACTATCTTCTTCCTCCATTCTCTCCTTTCCTCTCTCCATACTCTTTCCTTCCCTGTTCCCCCCTTCCCCCC